AGCTGAGAACTCGCCGGGAACCAAATAGGTGTGATAGGGGAGGGGGGGTAATTGTTACAGGCATGAGTATGTGAAGAATCTTGCCAAAGTTTGTCAAGCGACAACGAATTTGGTCACATGATCATAATTAATACTTTCTGTTTGTAAGCAGCTTGTATTTTACTATAGCTATTTAGATAACAATGTATATAGAAATGCACAAGTTAAATTATATTGTTGATTACGTCATAAATAAAAAGTGTCAGTCGGTTACGCTCGATTTCTCCAAATTTCGTGAGTTACACGAGTCCAATTCCACTTTTTTTTCCTATAGTACTTTCTCTTTTGATTACTCGTTCCCATTTTAGTTGACTTTAATCGCTAACATAGGCGTAAATATCTCCTACATTTGAGCACTTTTTCTGCTATATAAAAGCCTGTCAAAAAGGGAGTTCCTAGGCATGGCGTTATGTGTGTGACACCACATCATCCACATCATTATGACGTCAAGCGAGGTAGAATCTGAATAGAAAAGCCGGGAAGACTCCTATGAAAAATAAATAAAAAAATGGCAAAAACATATATGCTTGGGAATTATTACAAAAGAAAGCCTTTGTTAAAATAGACTGAAGATACGAATTATCTGTAGGAAAGAGGACGACTTTTCCTCAGAAGAAGAACAGGTGTGTATGGCCATCACATGTTTTTAATCTCTTATCCCAAGGCACCAATATGTAGCATGTTTACAGTCTTTAAGTAAAGTATATATTGCTCATGATAGGCTTTGGTTTCCAGTCATATTTGACGGGCTTTTATACTAGTTGTTAATATAAAACCAAATACAGCAAGCTTCTGTTCATATTTGAATCTAACAATTAAAGACGTTCAGAAAAAGGTTGGGTAATTTAGTTACCGAAAACAGGTCAGTTATTATATATATATATATATATATAAAGATGGCTTGTTTCGGTTAATACGGTAATATATGTTTTCACATTTTTCAGTTAAATGTTCGTCTTTATATTAATTGAAAAAGAGCTGAGTGCAAGAATTCGAATTTGACCACTGTTGGTGGGGTGTTGGGGGGGGGGGGCGTAAACACACACACGTATTCTTATTTATATATAGATATACAAGTCCAACACATACATCATATGAGTGAAAGAAAGGGGGATTATACTGACCAAAATGGCCGAGTATGCATGTATAGTTTGGGGGATGGGGAGGGTTTAAAAGCCAAAACGGTTTAGTCGTAACTCCCAAATCTGGCTGACACGTGCATTCACACTTTTTTAGTGCCTGGTGGTTAAAGTGTTCGACTCGCAAATCGCGGGTCGCGAATTTGAAACCCGTCTCTGAACACGTTCGCCCTTTCAGCCATGGAGGCGTTATATTATATGGCGTCAATCCCACTTTCGTTAATAAAAGAGTAGTCCAATAGTTGACGGTGGGTGGTGTTGACTAACTGCCTTTCCTCTAGTCTATCACTTCTAAATTAGGGACGGCTGGCGCAGATAGCTCGCATGTAGCTTTGCGCGATATTCGACAAAGAAAGAAACCAAAACCATTTTAACTATTTTCTCAATTTGAAAGTTGTAACAGGAGAAGAATGAACAAAACTTCTTAAGAAACCACGTCTTACGAGCAAAGAGAAAGGAATAAACAATAACTTAAACGAAATTATATGTAATATTTAAATTTTATCCTATATTCATAGCTAAACAATTAGGATATATATAGTGCGATAAATAAACATGTTCATAAAATCAGGTACCGATAACGACTGTTACACTTGTTAAATGTCGGTATGGGTACGCGGTTTCCTTGTCACTGTTATCTCACTGCAATTTGCGTACCGTAGGTGCATTGTCTATCGAAAGTGGGCTATTACTATACGACACGCCTATTGTCACGTGGGCCTAAGAAATATTGCTCGTAAATAGTTTACTGGTAACTTGTGACCACGTGCTGACGTCAATGTCTGTGATAAGGTTAAGTGATGTGTTAAAGCTTTTTTTTTTTAAACACATAAGGATACAAATTAAATAACAATCCCCTACTAAAAAAAAAATAAAAATTAAAAACGTATTCAACCTGATACCATAAGATCTGGGCGGGAATGCGAGAAAAATCTGAAATTAGCAAAAATAATAACCAGTTTATCGTTAAAACACGTTTTAGCAATGTCCTGTTTCTAAAGCTTACCTATATTCTCTTTCTGGTTGTAAAGCAAATCATATCCTCAATAGACTTAAAATTAATATAATTATATTATATTAATATAATTATGATTACCGCAACGATAATAATTTACCATTTCTGGTTTTACAAAACAAAACTGAGATAAAAAAAGGCCAATTAAAAAAAGACTCCTGCAACTAGCGCCATCTATTGTTTCAAAATAAAATTTAAATTGAATCTTGGTTTTAAAATAGGTTTGCACCGTCATAAAAAAAAAAAAACAGAGATGAAGATTATTTGCATCTTTTTCTTTCTTTTTTTTTTAATGGGGTGAATATTTTATCAAAAATTCTGTTCAGGTTAACAGTTGATAAATTAGATCTTCACGTTTTGATCCCGAAATTTAATTTTCAAGAATCTTTGCGTGAAATCAGGGATCTCACTAATGATATTGTCTGTTTTAATGTTTAATTTGTTTACACCGCAAACAACTAACAGTTATTTTCTCGAACATATTTTTACAGCATTAACAAATTATGATGGGAAAAGTATTCTTGTTAATAGGAATTTGTCACAGAATAAATAAAGTGTCTTCTAACAGCACTTTAATGACAAGTGGTTATATATATATTATTATAACTATCTTTTAAAGTGTCTTCTAACAGTACTTTAATGACAAGTGGTTATATATTATTATAACTATCTTTTAAAGTGTCTTCTAACAGCACTTTAATGACAAGTGGTTATATATTATTATAACTATCTTTTAAAGTGTCTTCTAACAGCACTTTAATGACAAGTGGTTATATATTATTATAACTATCTTTTAAAGTGTCTTCTAACAGCACTTTAATGACAAGTGGTTATATATTATTATAACTATCTTTTAAAGTGTCTTCTAACAGTACTTTAATGACAAGTGGTTATATATTATTATACTATCTTTTAAAGTGTCTTCTAACAGTACTTTAATGACAAGTGGTTATATATATATTATTATACGTCTCTTTTAAAGTGTCTTATAACAGCACTTTAATGACAAGTGGTTATATATTATTATAACTATCTTTTAAAGTGTCTTATAACAGCACTTTAATGACAAGTGGTTATATATTATTATAACTATCTTTTAATGTGTCCTCTAACAGCACTTTAGTGAGCAATTATAAATTTTTATATGATTGACCCAGATTTATCGCCTAAACTTATTATAAAATTTTAGGTTATTTTTAGTCGAGTGCTATCAAAATCTCCCGAGTGGCCCAGCAGTAAGCTTAAGAATTTACAATTAGAAAATTCGCGGTTCGATCCTAAACACTGACAGAGTGCAAATAACCAATTCTCCAGCTTTTGACTTAAAACAAACAAAGCTATCGTAAGGTGTAGAACGTACGCAACGACGTTAGAAAAACTCTTGTCAGTAAAAATTACTTGAATTCACACATTTGTTCTTGAACGTTTTGTTAACGAAAATTATATGTTGCATATGTAATAATTTAGAGTAAATGGACAAAGCAACAAAGGACTCATTCGGAGTTACGTTACTACAGGATTCCTTTCAACATCTAGGGAAAGAGCGCGCGAAAGCAACGAGCTATCTTTTGGTCGCTGTTGTGCCGCCATTTCTGCCCGACCATTTGATAAGAAAGAAACACTCCCTACAATATTTACACCTGTATGAAACCTTTCCTATTTTAACCCAAATCTTTGTTGATGATCTATCTTCATTGGCGTTGGAAGCATCAAAGAAGAGAAAAGTTTTTTTTTAAAGTAACCCTAATACGACTAATTTTCGACTGCGTTATGTATAGCTGGACATTAGTAACTGTTATTAAAAGTAGTATAAGTTATCTGCACGCCTGTTCGAAGGCTCTCTTGTGATTCACAGAGGCCAGTGTACCGGTCAGGCTCCCCAGTTATCCCCGATAACAACTATAAGGAGTCTGTACTCGAAAGAAAAACATTGTTAGGACACCAACCAGTGTGCCAAGTTTTATCACGCTAGATTACGAAAATCACATTGACCGATCATAGGGATTTAGATCTTGTGTAGACCTGGGAGGGTCAGGTGCAATTTTGACCTCTTCCTCCCTCCAAGACTATTGTTTTAATAGAGTCTTGTAGTGGTTCCTTTTTGTTCTATTGTCTATTTATCATTTTCAGGGCCATGTCCACGAATTTCATCCTATGACCGATGTAATTTAAGTTCTGGACTTTTATTTTTACTTGGCTCTAGACATTTGATTACTTGGTTGTATGATATAGGGGCTCACAAGTAAGTGGATGGTGTGTAGAATAATAGGTTATTTCTATTAAGAGTGTGAAACTATCTGTACGGTTTCGGGGAGTTCATGTACTGTTCTAAGAAATCCACGAATATATTTTTAATGGCTTCGAAGATATTTATTTCTGAATTGTTTGGTTCCGTTTCAAATGTATTCCAGGAAAGTTTAAGTAAGTTACAAGGATGAGTGTGGATAGGAACACAGTTTCAAAAATGGCGCTCCTGGAATCTCGAGGAGGGCCAGGAACACAAAATCCAGTGATGCTAACTAGCTTCAAATTCAGGGAGTTCGTAGATCCCCAGATCTTCTGGGCGTGTTTTAGCTCCTTGGGAAAACGCCAAAAACGTTTCAGGTTTCTTTAAATTAAACTATAACTTTCATAAAAGAGTAAAAAGTGCAAACTTTTTCAGTGCCTCTTTTCACGACTTTTTTCTTCCCCATACGACTTATATACAACTTGTATTATGATATATTAACATCGTATCGGTCTTGAATTACTCAAATACTAACTAAAAAAGTCATTCACATTACAAACACACAAACAAACTCACTCACCACTCTGTCATGGCCAAGTATCACGTCGTATTCGATTCATTTAAAGAGCATCAGTGTTTACGACGACCAAAATACCACTAACTGGATTTCCAGCATCCCGCCTACCGTCGTGTTTCGCTTCTTGGTTATATTAACAACATCTATTAACAAGGGCGTATTAATCAATCGGCTTTCAAGGCTTGGGCCTAGACAACTACAACTGAGGGGGCGCATCTTAAAGTAAGAAATATTTCAAAATAAATTTAACATTGAAAATATATTTGTAATAAGATCAAGTTTACATCAGTTTCATTGGGTTTTAACGTATTGTTATTTTTGAAAATATATTTGTAATAAGAACAACTTTACATCCATTGCACTGCAGTGGTATCATTTTTTTTTATCTTCTCAATATTCTTCATTTGCAAATTTCCATTCTGTAAAAAAGGAAATAAGTTTGATAATTGTGTGTAATACCTTAAGAATTACTATTAAAAATTTGGCTTAAAAAAAGGAGAATTTATTTTTTTGTCTTTAACGTCCATTTTGGACGATACAGTGTTTTATAATTTTTTGTTGTTTAATGTATTTAGTTGGAAAATGTCTAGATCGGCTATATACTGTCACACACACACACTGTAAGATAGCCTAAAACATACCACGGTTTTTTAAATGTACATTTTCTGTTGAAAGCGAAGGAAAAAATAAATTGGATAAGAATACGAATTGTTCTTTCTTGAGTTTTTAAGCCTAACTTCAATGGGTCTACGTATTTAGAATAGTTAGGTTTTTAATAGTACGTGCGGATAAGGAATACGAATTGTTCTTTCTTGAGTTTTTAAGCCTAACTTCAATGGGTCTACGTATTTAGAATAGTTAGGTTTTTAATAGTACGTGGGGGATAAGGAAATCCCCACATTTTTATGTGTGTGTTTTTTTCATTCTTCCATTACGTGTACTGGTAATTCACTAATATTACTCATGAATGTATAAGGCGTCATCTACAGTTTCTCGTCTCTCACGTTCACCATGCACGTACTAGGTTACGAAAGTTAAAAACATCCACGCCAGAAACACGCGCTCATCGTGACTGACTGGATGATTCACACCTCTCAGTGAAGGAACGAGTGTGGTTATATTTAACCTTAAGATTCCTATTTATCACTCCTTCTGAGAATTTAACTGTTTAAAATTATATTACCAACTCATTCTATGCAATTCAAACTTATAAATTGCTTTAAATTATACTTAGGACTAATTCTGTGCAATTTAGGTTAAGAAAATGGTTGTTTCAAGTCAAAGTTACCACTTATTCAATGCACTTCAAAGTCTTGGCGATTATAGCTCGACTATACTATATTACATATTTATGTCAATGTTGCCCAGCTTCAAGGCCAGTTGGAGAGAGTTATAACAGATATTTTATTGATCGTAAGACATCTTAAAACAGCAGCGCAAGAACTAAAAGACGTAAATGACTACTAAGATTACATAAACGTAGTTATAGTTCTTTCTACACGACACTATTTTATAGACTGAAGATAGTTCACAAGTTACAGCTCATCAACAAGTACGAAAAAACACACACACATAAGAATTGGTGAAATAATTCTGTAACAATGTAAAAGTGGTCAGAAAAGCAGTCAGCTATACAAGTTTAACACGAGTCGAAGTTTCATTTAGAATTTTATCACACAGTGACACAAAGGAGGCCAGGTGGTTAGGGCGCTAGACTCGCAATCTGCGGGTTCGAATCCCCATCACGCCAAACATGCTCGTCTTTTCAGCCGTGGGGGCATTATAATGTAACGGTCAATCCCACTATTCGTTGGTAAAAGAGTAACCCAAGAGTTGGCGGTGGGTGGTGATGACTAGCTGCTATCCTTCTAGTCTTACACTGTTAAAGTAGGGACGGCTAGCGCAGATAACCCTCGTGTAGCTTTGCGCGAAATCCATAACAAACAGACACAAAGGATTGTCCGCTCATAGCCCTAATTTTGAACTTAAAGCCGCTAGCTGCCTATTCGGCCACACAAGAGCCCCCTTTTTTATTGGAATTTCACTGAAAGCCAAAAGTAGCCCGGGAGTGGACGTTGGGTGGTTTGTTGATTTGTTGCATTTTCTGTAGTCTGTCTGTGAGTTCAAAGTTAGGGATGGTTCTGCGTAAAATTTCGAAAACAAATAAGGAATCTCATAATATATGCCACTAAAAAATTAATTTTTATTAATTATTTGTAATAATTATTAATTATTTATAATAATTATTAATTATTAAAAATAATTTTTTATTTATTTAATTTTTAATTCAAGAAAATTCTTGATGTGTCATTTATCCACAAGTAAGACCAAAATTTAAATGTTCTGTAACATATCAAAACAAACAAGCAGAAAACATCACACATTAGAAATTGTAATGACTCTTATGTTCGTATCGTTTCGTTTATAAGTAAGCACAAAGTTACACAATGTACTATCTTTGCTCTGCCCACCACGGGTATCGATACCCGGTTTCTAGCGTTGTAATTCCGCTGTGCCACTGGAGGACATGTAGGTATCTCACACCACACTTTTTTTTGATGACGCCTTGATTTCTAGTCGTCAAATTCTCAAACATCTTCATCTAAGTTTTTGGTCTGTCTTCACAGTTTAGGCATCAACATTAAATATACAATAAAATTACATATAAATAAATATAAATATCACATTATTCAATGTCTCACAATCTTATTTACCTAAACGGTGTCAGTTAAGAAAAACTTAAAAGTTTGAAAAACGAGAAGCTGGGGCCGGGTGTGGCCTAGTGGTTAGTGTCCATCATTTTCTTACTGTTAGCGCTAAAAAAAAAAGAAGGATAAATCACGTTACACACTTTGGAGAAGGGGTGCTTTATAACTAGAGATGTCAGTGAAATCCCTCTGTTTGATCAGAGGAGAGTAACTTAAGTTTTGGCAATAGGTGCTGTTGACTTGTAGCTTTGCGCAAATAACCTTTTGTGTTGCTTTACGCGCAGTGGCGTAAACAGGTATTCCCCTCGGGGCGAAGGGGGGGGGCAAATAAATTAAAAAGCCGAAATTGATCTAAACAAAACAAATCAAATGTAATAGTGTTTATAGAAATTTTTTTATTATTAAATGATACAAAACGAGTTTATTATATATAACAGCTAAAAAATAATATGTGATCAAAATACCTAGATTTTTCAGGGGGCCAGACCCCCCTTGGCTACGCGAAAATTCTGAAAAAAACAAACACAATGAAATTTGCTATATAGCATTTCACCTTCCATATTAGGGTTACTACCCCCTCTTATTTCGTGAAATTACACAATGAGAAAAGTAGTGCAGCGAAATTTGACCCCCCTTGTCTGTTTTTAGTACTTAAGAGAAATTAGTTTGTTGTTTATGCTAGTTTATAGTATATACATCATTTAACAATATTAAGTAATACAGTATAGATATCGTAACATAAAAAGAAAATTTAAAAAAATATATTCTACTAGAGTTTTATTTTTTTTTGTTCTTTAATTATGTAAGTATATCAGAATTTGGAAAGCCTAACTAAACGCAATCTTCTTGAACTATACTTCCAGATATTAAATATGTCCTATTTACTTTTACTTGAGACTGTTCCTTTTCAGCCACCGTAGTTTGGGTTGTTGAACTTTGCGCATTCACTAGTGCGCATACCATGAACATCATCATGGCAGCAGCCGCTAGGAGGGGTCCTTGTGGTTGTTTGTTAACTATGTGCATTTCCGGACTAGTAGATTCGATGTCACAGTATTCTTTTGAAGTGGAAATTTGAGTTAAACTTAGTGATGGCTACGGCAGCCAACGGAGACAGTGAAGACAAGTTAGTGTGCCGAGAATTTTGTGAAAAACATGCGAGGCTGGTCGCGGCCGAGTTTGCCGCTAGTTACCGTTTGTTTCTTAATGAACACCCTAACGTAGTGAGAAGTGTCGCGGCTCAGGAGCTATCCCGGAAATTTACAGACTTATTTCAAGAGTTCTTTGAAGCTGAATTGAAAAGGCGAGACGGAAACTCAGTTTGTGCGGAAACTAGGGGATTATCTGGCGCCGCTAACGGCCACGGAACCCAGGAGACTCCAGTAAGCAGTACCGATAATGTCAAATCCAGGCCACCTAGACATAACAACACGTCTCAAGAAAACCTTCGAAGTTTTGCTAATCACGAAGATTATAGTGATATTTCAGACCCGGAGATTGAATCACCAAAAGCTCACCACAGACCATTTTTCAGACGATTATCGTTTAAAGGGTTAAAAAAAGGAAAAGGGTTATTTCATAAACAACATTCAGACGAGGTGGAACTGTCTTATTCTCATCACGACAGAAGAACTAAGGCAGAAAAACACGAAAAAACTAAGTTAGCGAAAATTGTTGTGGAATGTGTGAAAGAAGGAATAGTTAACTATCTTACCGGGGACAACCTCGATGGGAAACAGAAGTGGGAGAAGTGTAGATTAGCGCTTGTAAGACTACTGCAGGATACATGCTAGAATTCTTTTCCCCCCCAAAAGTAAGTATTGCTGAATTTTCTGGCCTGGCTATTTATAGTTGTGTATATTTTGTAAACAATTTCACAAATATACAAACTACACGAAGTACTGAGTTAATTAATCTGCTTGTGTGTAGATAAAAGTCAAGTTAATATAATCACATATTAATAAATAGGTGAAATAATATTCTTTGAATTAACTGCATTGTGGGTATATATATATATATATACACACACACACATATATATATATACACACACACACAAATATACAAACTACACGAAGTACTGAGTTAATTAATCTGCTTGTGTGTAGATAAAAGTCAAGTTAATATAATCACATATTAATAAATAGGTGAAATAATATTCTTTGAATTAACTGCATTGTGGGTATATATATATATATATACACACACACACATATATATATATAC